TAATTTGTAAACTAAAAGTGTCTCCTTTTTTCTTCTTCTGAGAGTTTATATAGAGTTGGAATTACAGTATTTGTTATCTGAATACTTAGAAGAATTCTGGTAAAACTTTCTGGGGCTGTATTTTCTTTGTGAGGCAGTTTTTAATGACTGGTTCATTTTCTTTAATGGTTAAAGAACCATTCAGGCTTTCCCTTTCCTCTTGTTAATTTGGGTCATCTGTGCTTTTCTTGGACTTTGTCCATCTTGCCTACATTTTCAAATGTTTGGCATAAAATCGTTTTATAATAGTTCCATATTCCTGCAATCTCAACTGCATCTACAGTTATGACCCCCCTTTTATACTTAATGTTGCATGCTTAATATTTTAGTCTTTTTTTCGATCAGCTTTGCCAGAATCTTTCCAAGAGCCAACCTCTGTCTTCACTGATCTCTCTTCACATCCTTGTTTTCTGAGGCAGTAACTTGGGTGCTGAACTTAATTGTTTTGTCTACACAGCTCACTGATTCCAAACCTTTCTCCTTTTTCATATGAACATTTAAGGCTATGAATTTCCCTCTCTCTAGTGGTGTGCCGCATGCTAACACATGGTGTTCTGATTGTTCAGTTTGTATTTTCCACTTTTAATTGTGTGTTTTCCTTTGACACACCAGTATGTAGAGGTGTGATTTTAAATTTCCAAATTGAGGGAGCAGCTAGTTTCTGTATTGGGAGTTAGTTTTTTCTTTGTTAGAGATTTCTGACTTAAGTGTTCTGATGTCAGAATATCATGTTTTTAACTTTGTTGAAACTTGCTTTGCAGATGATACATGGTGAGTTTTCTTAAATATTCTACCTTTCTTGAAAAGATTGTCCTTCAATTTTGAATACCAGGTTCTGTTTGCGTCTGTTAGACCCAAAGTGTGTGAATTGTTCATATCTGTTCCTTTTGTTTGTTTGTGTGGTCTGTAATCTGTCCGTTACTGAGAAAGATGTAGTACAGTCTCTCTTTGGCTACTTTTTAGATATTTTCTTCACCTCTAGCATTCTGTAGTTCAACTATGGTGTGTCTCTTGGTATGACTTTTTTTTTTTTTTTTTGCCTTTTTCCCTTGACTCTGATTGATACTTTTAAGCAGTCCTGGAAAATTCTCAGCCATTATCTCGTCAAAAATTCTCCCCCTGGGCTTCCCTGGTGGCGCAGTGGTTGAGAGTCCGCCTGCCGATGCAGGGGACATGGGTTCGTGCCCCAGTCCGGGAAGATCCCACATGGTGTGGAGTGGCTGGGCTCGTGAGCCATGGCCGCTGAGCCTGCGCGTCCGGAGCCTGTGCTCCGCAACGGGGGGAGGCCACAACAGTCAGAGGCCCGCGTACCGCAAAAAAAAAAAAAAATTCTCCCCTGTTCACTCTTTTCTCCCTTCAAGAATTCCTGCGGAATCATATCAGACCTTATATTCTCCATATCTCTTACCTTCTTCTTTCATGTTTTTTCCCTCATCTTTAAATACTCTGTAATGATTAGGAATATTTCTTCAGATCTCTCTTCTCATCCACTGCTGCTTCTGTTATGTCTAATCTTGCTGAAATTTGTTGTCTATTGACATTTTATTAAAGTTGTTTTTCATTTCCAGAAACTCTTTTTGGTTTTTGTTACTCAGTCAGGGAAAACAATTAACTTACTCTGGAATAGTACAATTTGAAACATTATACTAGTGTAGGAGATGGTGGTGGTAAAGTGCTTTCCAGTGGCCCTCAGATGGTTCTGTGTAGGTGGCCAAGTCAGCTGCAGGCTATAGTCAAGTAAATGGAGAGGAATTTTTGCAGTCAGGTGAAGCCTGATTAATGGGATGTGAGCTGGTTAACTTGATTATAAAAAATTCACAGAAAACAAACAGTTGGGGAATATATAGATCATAATCAGTCACAGGTTAGAACCACGGCAGAAGGAAGATGAGGAGAAGTGGCTCCCGACAGCAAGTCCTAGGTGGTCCTTCTGTGTCAGACTGACAGGATGTCCTGCTTTATCACAGCTTGCTCTTTTGTTTTAATAGTGCCACCTCTACTAGGGATTAAAGGTTTATTTTTAAAAATTAACTATTTACTTGGCATTTATTTTGTCCACATTTGACAAGTTATGGTTCAGTAACATGAAGGAATGTCAGTTCACTGTCCAGCCATCTGTTTGTAAAGAATTAAAAATATATTAATTTGACTGAAACTAGTAATCCAGATTCACTTGCATAGAGATTCTGATTATAGTTTGACGAGTTTATTTCTGTAGAGCTGGCTCAGTTAAATGCACTCTTTCTGTCATCTTTGAAATGAAAATAACAGGGCTTTTTTACTGCTGTTTTTTTCTTTCTCAGAAACTTATTTTTTTTAGAAGTATTCCTTCCAAAAAGTTTTTAAAATAGTAAACCAGAAAATTTAAGTTGGAAACATTAAATCACAACAGTGAGATGATTTTACGTTTCGTTAACTATTTTGAGTGAGCTACAGACCCTTGTGTAGACACTGGGGAAGCAGGGCATTCGCCATCTGCGTTTTGTTCCTGGACGTGCCCCCCGTGACCACGTGTGACATCAGAGCACCTTGACCTGCACACTGCTGCCGAAGAGAGAGCTGGTAGATCATCACAAGCCTCTAAAATGCTGCCTCCTAAACACTCTCTGTATTTCTCCACGTTATTACTGGTTGTTGAACTACAGTTGACCTTGAACTATGTATGCACTGGGGTTAGGGTGCTAACCCTCCCCTAACTTAGAGTCAGCCCTCTGTATCCACCCTCCCCGTCTGCGGGTTCGTACAGTACGGTAGTGTTTACTACCGAAAAAAATCCACATATCCGTGGACCTGCACAGCTCAAACCTGTGTGAGAACACCTATTTCTAATTACATAACTGTTGAATTAGCACCCTTTTGTCCCCTTTTCCATTAGAGACGGCTGGCCTGGAAGCTGTCCGGCCCCACCTTCCCTGAGAAGCTTTTCAGCCCCTTAGCAGTGCCCTGGTCACTCTTGCTCCCTCTGCTTCCTTATCAATAGCCACATTCCGTGAACATTGTCTTTCGTATGTTTTCTTGTCTGTCTGCCCTACTGGACTGTGGTTTCCTTCCTAACAGAGTTTTTTTTCACGTAACTTTCATCCATCACTCTCAGGTGGTGGGTTCGTGATAGACCCTATCCTTGCATAATAGGGTCAGGTGAACTCAGCTGACATCTGTGCTTCTCAGATGCTATGAACAGGGTATTTGAAAATTGATAATCATAGCTGCTAGCATTTATTATGTATTTTAAATGTGCTACACAAGGCTCATAAATTATCATTTCTAATCCTCACAAAAAAATTTATGAGGTGAGTATCGTTGATTCTCATTGTTTGATTTGCCTGGTACCTATCTGTGCACACATTTATTTTCAACCTTTTTTCTTAAATTGAGATATACCTTATATGCAGTAAAACATATAAATCTTAAGTGTATTAGATTGGTGACTTTTTGCACAGTACCCACCACCCAGATCAAAATACAAAATGTTCTCCTTGTGCCATGTCCCATGCAGTGGGACACCTGCATGGGCACCCCTCTCACCACTGTCTGACTTCTGTCTGCACAGGTTAGTTTCACCTTTTCTTGAACTTCATGTAAAGTGGAACCATACAATTTGTAGTCTTCTGTGTGTGGCTGCTTTTGCTCAGACCTAATCATTTCTGAGATTCAGCCAAATTGTGTGTCTATTACTAATCTCTTTTATTGCAGAGTTTAGGTAACATATTTTGCTTACTCATTCTTGGTAATGGGCTTTGGGTTGTTTCCAGTTTTAGGTCTTTATGAATAAAGTTGCTGTGGGCACTGCTGTAAAAGTCTTTCTGTGGACATTTCTACTGTCTTATCTTACATATATACCTAGAAGTGGAATTGCTGGTCATGGAATAAGTTGATAGAACCTCTGAGTATTCCCAAGTGGGGATATCCTTTACACTCAGCCAGCAACGTGGGAGTGTCTGGGTGCCCCACTTGCTCACTACCACTTCACATTCTGTTTTATTTTAGCCCGTCTCCTGGCTTTTGTTGGCGTTCCCTGATAAACAGTGATGTTAAGCATCTTTCTTATGCGTTTAGCTGTTCATATTCAGGTGCCTTCTTTAGAAGTGCCTGTTCATTTCACTTGTTCATTTGTTAAGTGGGTTGTTTACCTTTCTATTAGTGATGTTAGAAATCTGTGTATATCTTTGTCAGATATATATTCTTTGAGTAGAAATTTTAAATTTTGATGAGGTTTATCTACTTTTAAAAATGTTTAGTGTCTTTCATATCCTGTCAAAATCTTTACCTGCTCCAATGTCCTGAATTTCTTTTTCCCAGAGGCTTTGTAGTTTTAACTGTTATCTTCAGGGAGATGATCTGTCTCTTACTGAGTATTACATTGTGTTCATTATTACTATAATTATACGTATACTATGATAGCTTTATAGTATGCATTGAAAGGACAGTTGTGCTCTTTTTTCCTGGTATCTTTTCATGCTGTATTGTATGGTCTACGACCTCTAGTACAGTCTAGTGCCGGCCCCGACCCTGCACTCCCCAGATTCTCACTCCTCCCATGTTGAGGGCTCGGCCCACCCCCTCTGCAAGTCCTTGGCCCCTGGGTGCTGGTGAGACCAGGCGTGGACGCGCAGGGCTGACACTGACCCGCTCTT